ATCCAATCGTAAAAGTTATGGCAATCGAGTAAACAATTCAATACAAACTTTTCATTTCCATAATTGTATGAAAACTTATAAATACTGAGAAACCGATTGCCATAAATCGAGACAATTATCTCGATATCGGAATCGCTCTTAAAGTTGACGAAAGTCTTAATTCCGTTAATAACATGTGTTTTGAACACAATTTGATTTAAAACTGATTTCTCAAAACCGTTTTGCGTGGTCTTCAAGATGTGAAGAGTTGATCCCATGCCTGACAAACACAGAAAAGACATTAAAATCAATGGTTAAATCAATTGATACATCACTTGATATAAAGTGATGGCAAATAAGATATACTGACCCACGAATAGGAAGTCCTTCTCAACACTGATGGCTCTAATGTGACATTTGGTGACAATTGTCTCAAATGTACCACAAATTGACATTTTCTTCGGATGTGTTTCGCAATCAATACAAATGAAAATTCAAGTGAAAAAGTTTTGGACACAAAAAATCTCAACAAAACCGTCAAAAGTGTCCCAAAAAAGTGTTGTTTCGCTTCATATATGAGACACGCATTGAGTTTGCATTGAATTAAAGGCAAACTTATGGTTAGTTTTGTTCAGTTTTGGGACAAAAAGTCAAATCAAAGCAAACGTTAATTCAATCAACGATTCAATCGTTTTGTTGATTCAAAAGTCATGTGTTTTTTTGTCCGCTTTTTAAACCCAAACAAAACACTATATATTTGGCCGTAATTTATGGTCAACTCATTGGACATCCATTTGCGAGTAAACGCCAACACCAGTGAAGACATCAGTGATTGAAGCGATCGTTTGGATCAATTGAAGCGATAGTTTTGGCCGAAGAAGAGGACAGCAAGAAGTGGACAATGTGTGAGACGTCGGCCATCAATCGGCGCAACCGTAAGGGCTGTCTGTCGGAAGAGTTCTACCGGTGGTCTGACGAGCCGTTTGAAGAGATGGACTCAACAATAGCTGTCCAGCAGTTCATCCAACAGACCATTCGTAGGGATCCGTCAAATATAGATGAGATCCTATCGGCTCCGGAGGGCCAGGAAGAGGGCGGCTGGAAGTACGAGCACTTGAGACAGTTCTGTCTCGAACTCAACCGATTGGCCGTCAAATTGCAGACCGAATGCTCGGCTCAGACGTGCACTCAGATGACGGCCACCGAGCAGTGGATCTTCTTATGCGCCGCCCATAAGACGCCCAAAGAGTGTC